GCGTGACCGTTCTTATTTATGGGCGTATGTTGTTGCTTGTTTTGTGCGTATCTCATTTTACTTATTTTTAATGCTATCATTTTTTACAATTTTCAGATATATGTTCGTCCAAATTACTTATAGAATGCTATGTTTCTTCGTTTTGACAATCTGTGATAACTTTTGCTCGGCAAATTACTCCTGAACTCAAGGACACATTTGAAACATTTAAAGATGAATACAGTTTTTGGAATTTCCTGGGTTTGAGCAAATGTCCCTTTTATTATGAGCTGTCTCAGGTGGGACAAATTTCAATAACAATCTTTATTATAAAGGTCAACCCATTTTTTCACTCTGATGAAGTGGCCTTCTCACTGGTACTGTCCAAAATAACAGGAGAAGAATAATCTGGCATTTCCCTTAGCACATACTTCAGTTACATACATAAACGGATGAGGAATGACATGATGAAGTTGAAAGCAAACGCGCCGGAGACTATGTTAGACGTTTATTATTGTATTTATTCAAAAAAATTCTTTTTCAACTTAACCAAAAAACCCTTCAAAACCCTCGGTTTGATTCAAGAGAAAAGCATAATAGTCCAGATGTTTTTTTTTGTCAATAAACTGGCTAGTTCAAATTAGGGAGTTTTTTTGTTGGATGAGTTAATAAGCAGCCTCCAAGATTTTCAAAATTACAGAAGCCAGCAAGGTTACATCAACGCGTATTTTGTACCTTGCCTAATTGTGAGTGCTAAGTGCTAACTGCTAAATTCATTCAAAATTTTATTGGCTCAAGTGAGTGCTAAATTTTCTTTCATCTTATGCAGATTTGGTTCCTGGAGCCATACTACTATCATGCTCCATGCATTCTGACAAAAGGCCGTTTTCTCGATGGGCTGATGATATTGTATATCTAAGAGGTGATCACTAACTTATTTGCTAATATAAGGAAAAGTCAGATTTGTAATGTCCTACGTCAGGCAGTGAAACCCAGGAAGAAATGGATATGGTTTAATGTTGAAATATCCACTAGAACTTGCCCTAATCCCCTGATTCCCCTCAAATGACATCATCCACCCATCAAAACAATCCCCCTAATCTCGCCCATCATACCCCACCTCCTCAGCAAGATTCCACAATCTCCTCAGCAACCATAATTTAAAGTTTTCTTGCTTGAAGCAATTCGTACTATACAAGAAACAATCATGGAAATCCTGCCTAAGAAAACAGTACAAAACTTTTTTCGAGAATTTGAACGACAAGGCTTGAGCACAAAGTTGAAGATCTTACTGAGAGAGTTGGAAGTTATTGAGGTCAAGCTCAATACTTAACATTGATCAGAGCAAAGTATTCCTCCAGAAAAAGATCTATTAGCTACTCTTCATCTTCCAATAAGAGACAGCGATCAGATATCCAACCACCACAGCCCAATGAACCAAATGAGCCAATCCAAAAAAGATCCAATCCCACCAAAAAGATCAATCCAACAAAATGAGCCATTGCCCAGCAGAAATGCAAACTTGTTCCATATACAAAACCAAATGCAACCAATACCAGTAAGATAACAATTCAAATAAACCTGTAACTTATGTTTATGCAAGGCTGAAGATAGAAATTACAGAGGTTCATGTGTTTGACTTTCTGAGCAGAAGAAATTTTGTGGCTAAGAATTTTGAAAAAGTACTCTAAAAGGTAAAAATTGTAACTTATTTTTGTATGATATGCGTGGTTATGCTTATTATAATGCGTGTGGTAGCGTATGATATGCCGTGTTTATGAGTATAGATATGTGTGGATTATGCTTATGAAATGCGTATTAATTTTTTTTTTTTGCAGGGACGTTAGTATCTTGTTTGTTATTAACATTCTTTACCAGACTTGAGATTGATGAGTTATTAAGCGACAGTTTATTAGGCAATGAACATAGTAAGATTATTTTGCCTATCTCTTCAGATGAGAAGTGTAACACCTTATCCAGAGCCAAGTAGCCATAAATTTTTCTATACATCTCGTACCCACTCTATGGGTTAGTAAACTTATATTCATTTATGCAGTTTAAACTATTGGATTAGTACTTTTATATCCAATTCTTAGTTCTTACATTTACTCTCTTGCACTTGCAGAAATAACAAAGAAAGGGAAGAAATTGTGCCAAATTGCAACGACCATATAACGAGCTTTCTGTTTCTTCAAACCAACTTTTATACAACCAAAATCATTGATCTATGCACATTAACCTTCTGGTTGGATTTGCTTGAAGAGAACATAAGTGACAAATCTTTATGACCTCATTGGACCACCGCGTCAAAAGAGCATAGGCTTGTTGTTCCAAAATCATACCGTGTTAGTTCTGTCAGATACTTTAGGCTCATTAGATGAACATAAAACTCTTCAATTTTTAAAATTTTACAGAACTAATCTTGCCTACGTATATTTTCAGGTTAAAGCCCTATATCTGACACGAAACGGAGCTTTTGATAGTGATATAGCAAATGGAAGCTTTCTAACCATTAAGATACCAAAAAAAGAACTCTTTTGATTGTGGAATGTATGTCCTGTAAAATATATGAAAAGAAATAATTCTTGAGGCAACACTGGATTGGACTGAATGTACAAATTGGCAAACAAGACATGCCAAAGTATAGGGCAGAATTTCATATGAAGTTACTTTGTAAATCACGTTGTCAAAATAACAGTTTTTCATTCTGTGTAATGGTGTATAATGGCTTCTGTGTTATAAATGAGTCTTTTCCCATTCGAAACTCTGTGTATAAATGCCTTCTTGTAGTATATAAAATGTTTTTCATTCTGATTCTGTGTATAAATGCTTCTGTGTATAAATATTTTTCATTCTGATTCTGTGTATAAATGCTTCGTGTAATAATGTTTTTCATTTCCTGATATCTGTGTATAAATGTCCTATTTAAACATAGTACGTCACAACGAACGCATAAAAGCATATGAATCTCGCAACATAATGCATTACGACGCAAAGAGTACGCATGACGCCCGGCATTCTACAACGCAGACATAAGAGTAAATTTATTTTCAAATTCTATTATATATTTTATGAGCCTTTAGACAGATTGGGAGGATAATAGGCAGTAGGTTGATTTTTTAATCGAGCCTTTATTCTTAATATTGCTCAACATTCCATAGTCTTGCTATATAATGCGGGACCACTTGAAATATATCTTTCATTATGTGTATAAATATTTATTTACATTGGTTTGATAAATTATATTTAAACATAAACGCACAAGCTGAACGCATAAAATACGCATAATGAACTCGTTCAAATACGCATTACGAACGCATATTCGTAACGCATAAACGCACGTATGATCAACGCACACATAGCAGTAAATTTTATTCATAAATTCTAAATTAAATATTTTAATTATATATATCTTTGTTTGTAAAGTTATTAATTAATGATGAAGAAAAAAAAATAAAAAAAAGAACCAAAAATAATGAATATATGACTGTTATGGCTCTTTGTTAGATTTTGTATGATTTCAATTTTCTAATCTTGAACTATGATATTGAACAGTAA